AATTAAAGCACTTGATCCACTGACCTGTCATGTATCCGCCGATAAGTGTGTGTGTGTGTGTGTGCTTGCGTGTTGCCCTCGAACATTTTCCATTTAACGACCAACGGCAACCTGACGATTTTCCAATAGACCCACAATATTGTTACGTGTAGATATATCCCCTTCCATTACGACGAAAATTTGTGGACATCGGAGGAAACCATTCAACGTCGGTTTTAAATTTCATTTCACACAATGAACGTGTTCACAAACACCCTCGCATAGTTGTAAAATCATGACCATTTCGACGAGGGTAGCGGTTGTGATGTCGTTGGTGAGTGCTGGGCATTTACCATATACGGTCTTCATGTCCCCCAACATTAACGTTTAAATAATTAACTGCAGCGGAAAGCGTAAATGTAAATGATGACATTTTGGGATCTTTTTCGGTTTGGGAATGTGCGGTGGATAGCTAATAAATCGCCGTTAGAAATAGCATTCAAATAAATTGCCAATGCATTAGGGACCGTACCCATAAAAATCATTTTTTTAATCGATGGTATTTTTTAAAAGTACAACAAATAAAATATAGAAAGATAAATATATAGTATACATTGTGCAAAAAAGTAGCCGGTAATTTTAAATAAACGCAAAATATTTATCTATTTATCAAAAACTACGTTGTCGCCTTCAAGGGAAACCCCATCAGATGCGATACCATTATGCCAACGGGATTTCCAGTCCTAGAAATAGTTTTCATAAGCACATTTGGGAATTTTATTTTTTACGGACTTTGTTGCATTATGGACTTTTCGACAAATGTTCTCACACAAATTTTCGCTCTGCTCTGCTATCAGAGTTTTCTTTCTAAAAGAAGTTTCATTTCGGTGAAGTCCATCGGCAGCTACGCAAATGGCTGCCACTTCTGCTTGAAAGACACTAAATGGTCTGGCAGTTTGAAAGAGCTCCCGGCAGAAGACTCACCCTCCAACCTTCCCCTTTGAGCTTCGATCCATCTATGAAAAAGCTCACTGCGCCTCTAGGATACTTAAAATTTAAATATTTTTTGCATGGTCATCATCCTACTGAAAAAAGTTGAAATTGAAGGGAGCATTGGCGTAAAATTCTAATCCTCTTCTTACTTATTGGCCTAGCGATTACAGCTGAGTTTATAATAACGCGCCAGAAGCTCTTCTTGTCCGCTGTTTGGCGTCAATTCTAAGTTTAGCCAGGTTCTTCTCCGCCTAGTCTTTGCAACAGAGTGATGGTCTTCCTTTTCAATCCATAAAGTAAAAACAACAGCTTCCTCCTTATTCCATTCACACCTACCAGACGGCATGACTTAGCTGATCCGGTTCATGCTTACCCCTCACATACTTACTTCTCTCTTTGCTGAATGTCTAGCGATTACTTATAAATCTCAGCGGATTATATTATACATATATACAAGGTTTTTGACGACCGTACATCAGCTATGGAACTGTGATAAGGGCTTTGTGGAGGACTTTGTGGAGCTTGGAAGAGCTTGAACTTTAAACACGAGGTAATACTTGCATCATAGAATTCTACTTCATCACAGATAGTTTTTATGAGACTAAGGGCTTCAAATATAGTTATTAGTTAGAGAATCGGTATCGGTGGATGTAGGCTCATTACTTCAGTTACATATGCGTGACGAAGTTTTTAACATACACATATACATATATTCAATAATACGGAATAATTTTGCTTCAGTTTTTCAACTATCTTACCGAGATGCAAGGAAGTTGAAAATTATTGTCCAACCACAGTTCACAGGCAACAAGCTGCTTAGTACTCCAGACGCACTTCGTCTGACATCATTGAGCGCAGAGCAAATTGGAAGAGTCTGTTGAATTACTTGCTCACAACAGCATTCATCTTGTCCAACAAATTATTAGAAATTATTCAACATCCTAATGATCAAACAACTGGGAAATCCTATCTTCTATCTTGTATTCTGTCATCCGCACGAATTTGGCTGATGGCAAGTTGTTAAGCTAAAAATGCATTGTCTATATGTAAATGAGGGTTTCTTTTACTATATTTAGAGGTTCTTATAACGGCTCGGTGTTTCAACTATCCAAGTGTGATCTTAACTTTCGGATAAAACTGTATAGTAAACCTAACGCAATACCTAACCGCTTTTTCTGAATTCAAACATCTTAACGTTAACAGGCTTAGCTTGCTTCAACTGATATTAAACGTAATATTCTTTATATTATATATTTTACAGATGCGCAACCTAGACACTGCCCCCGATCCACGTATGTAGTAATGCGGTCTAATTAATGGCAAAAATAACAAAACCAAAGAGACAATATGCTCACCAGGGGCAGGGTAATAAATGTAATCAATTGGCAGGCCATCGAAGCCATTCAAATACGTCTCTACAACACGAGTGGCGACACATTTTGGACCCATTATTTTCCACATTCTCTGTGTTTTCCTTTTCTGCGCTATACAGCAACCCGCCAAGGGGACGAGAGGTGCGTGCACCTCACTGCCACAAGGCGTTAAAATTATGCAAGCACAACAAATAACTTGCTAATGAGGCGCCGTTAGATTTTTGCAAGACCAGCGTCGAAAGGGTTCTACTCAAAATAAACAACAACAACAACAACAACAACAACAACAAGTAAAGGCGATTTGCAACGAGCTCAAGGTGGCATGCGGGTAGCTGGTTGATGGAAAACTACCCACACACTCGTGTGTACATGTCCAGCGGCTAACGCGATGGTCAAGTGAAGGCGGGTGGGCGCCGGAAGGAGGCGTAAACTCGTAAATTGGCATCGCAGTACGTCGTCATGCACGGCACAAATGTTTGAATCAAGTGCAACGTAAAATGTGCACCTCTTCTATGGATGCACAACAGCAAAGTGTGTGGACTCGCACACAGCCAAACAACAACAAGCGTCAAATACACAAACACACGCTCGGAATATCAGTGTATGGCTTGTGTTGTTAAACACTTTAAATGCACGTTTTCTTTTCGTGATACTGAAAAAAGCATACATTCTAGGTCAAAACTCTTCACTTGTCTTTTGTTTTCCTCACACACACACACACACACACACACATGCATATATAGTTTGTTTTGCTATTTTTATTCCGCCTTATAGTACAGCTTTTCGCCTTGAAATCGTAGTGGTATTTGAGTGTGCTATTCAATGCATTTAGTTTTCAACTTTGAGCTGAAATTGGTTCTTGTAGGGCGTGGCTTACGATAGAGTTGTTGACACGTGTCGCTGGGATGGCTTTGACGAATTTTTCTGAAAAATTCTGAATAAATAAAAATAAACCATTTGTGCTGCGATTAAGTGCATGGAACCGCATAAATTGCTGCTTAGTGAAGGTGACACCATTAAACTTGCATATTTTATTCATAAATCCTTAACGATTCATGCAACGATGCCACACGACTATTCCTTTCAAACAAGCAATAACGGTGTTTTTTTGCTTTTTATGACCGTCTATTACTTCGTTTATTGTAGCCTTTTCGCTACTACACTGAAATTCAAGCTCTTTTCTTGATCTTTAGAGACAAAAGTCCCGATTAAGGTCGAACCAATACATGAAAGCAGAAGCAATCATGTTTATTAGCGGCCTCAAGAGAGCAAATATTTTCTTAAACATCGCATTCTAGTAACGGTTTGACTGATACTCCCATACAAAATCATCGAAAAGGCATTCAATTATCTTTCACATTACTGTACTGCTTCTTTCAATGGACCTGTTTTTGTTGGTCCAGGGTTCTCCTTCGCTTTCAAAGAAACTTTTGGCGCAACAAGTAGAACACTTTATATTTGATTGATTGATATTTTGATAAAATTAAATAAGGAATAAATATTGCATTTATCACAAGGAGAGGAGGTTGTTTATGCGGGGGATATAAATATAGTCAACCTAACACCAATTGCATCAACGTGTCACGACAATGAATAAACCAAATGAAAGGGGTAGCAGAGATACAACAACAGCGGCGAGACGAACTCTTACTGTATAATTCATCGTTATCCGTTATAACGTTGCACTCATCGTGGCTGTCACACAACTCTAACTCATTGTGAACCAACGATGCCGAGCTCTGGTTCATTCAGGTGAAGGCCATTGAGACTCTGACAGCCGCACTCTCTGAGTTGACCAGCAAACAAAAAAAAAGCAAAAGTAGCGACAGACGTCCACGATTACGATCTCGAACTCCAGAACCCTATTTTTATCACAAAAGATTCGGTGTGTGAGCTTATGGACCCAGCACTTACAATCCAGTTACAAACCAAGAAAACTAGCGAGGCTGTCATCTTCAGTCAGGACGGTTGACGACAGCAATCATCATGCTCCATCCAGCAAGGAGCACCACCTACATATACATGACAGATATTCACACCAGAGATTCCTCGTTGGTTCTGGCAGAGTGGTCTCTTTAGTACCATGAGCTTTTGTCAAGCAAAAACTGGAATTCTCAGCATTTCAAATCTACGCAGCAAACTTAATTAGCATCAACACTTACGGTCATCAATCAGTTACACTCAATCTTTGTCTTCATCGAGCATTCACATGGCCCTTCATCATGACTAACCTTCAGTCTGCGATTATTGATGCTAACTTCATCGTACACTATGGTCTACTGAGGGATCTCAACAAACATCGACCCGCTGGCGGATCAACTCTGACTGACGGACTGAGCACGCCTGCGGACCAGAAACTATCAGATACGTAAAAATTCATAAAATTTTCAGGTTTCTTTGAAGATATGGAAAGTTAAGAAAGGCAGTTTTTATACCATAGAAGTATTGTTATATATGATTGCAAAGTGAGAAATTATTCGTTTCTCTAGTTTTATACCAGTATCACATAACGAAGAATACCTTCTGATTTTGTCAACATTTTAGCTTTGGTTTTTTATTATTTTCAAAAGAAAATATTTAATTTTGTGTATGTATAAGCTAATAATGGCCAAAACTTACGTTTAAGTACTGCCGAAGTGCATTATTTTGGACTTGTTATATTTTCGAAAGGAGTCTTCTTAGAATTCTTACACGAAGTGACAAAATCTCCAAGCCAAAAACCAACATTGCTAAGCCTAAGCCTATACCAAGCACTACAAAGATGACATAAATATCTTCCAAAGCGATGACATCTACCTGATTTGGATCTTCATTTCTATCGCTCAACTCTAGCTGATACCAGCCCTTCACCAAGCCCACCGAGCGTATCCGCCAAATTTCCTGCTCAAACTGATCAATCAAGAATGAATGCTTTGCTAAATACATGGTGCTTTGAAAATTCATGAAATCATTGCTCAAAATCATAAAATAATCCGTCTTATTGTGCTGCTTCTTGTAGTAACGCAAGAAATCTTGAGTTACAATCGCGACATAATTCCGTTTGGAGACTTGTCTTACATAATCGAAGACGCTCAAGCCATCCAATCCCGTTGTCGTAATTGTTGGTAGTATTCTCAAAAGCTCCACATTAGTTAGTAAACCACGATTGTAAAACGATATAACGGCTGTGAAATTGCGCGCAACAAGCTCATCCAAATTCGACGGCAAAGTCGCCATCGTATCATGATGTGCGTAAGTGAACAGTACACCCTGGTAAACGGCACGTATCAGTAGGGTAAAGCATAACCAGATGATGAATAGTAGGCGCCCATAATGGCACATTGGCGTATGTGTTATTGGCATGCCAAGTAGAATGGATAGGGAGTTCAAGAACGGCTGCACATTCTTCTCCAAACTTTGCTTGCAACATTTGCTCAACACAGCGGACAAAGCCCAGCATAAGAGGTACGTGCTCCAAATGAGTGACCATGTAATCGCATCGAAGGGAAATATTAACTGCTCTAAGGAATTCAAAATATATGCCTCCTTCGAGACGCATAAAATCTGACGCGTCTGGTAATAGCTGCTGACGGCTGAAACAATATCCAGCAGTGCGGGACTCTGACGGAAAGCACCCAAACCCATATCGGCTTCGCCGTTTTGCAACTAAAGCGAGACAAACCTGAATTATTTTGTAATCACGCAAATCTTTTAATATTTACCATTCTAATAGCGCCAAACTGAAATATATTATCGGGTGGCACTTTAACTTCTATTGTGAAATTTAATATTCCGCTCAGCTGACGCAACAAATGGCCTTCGATGCCGCTCACAACATGGCTGACACCCCGCTCATCCGTATGCAAGTAGGTGAAAGGTGGTATGTGTCGAATAGCGACGCGCAAGACACAGCCATGGAAATTCCTTAACTTGCGTGGAAATAATGTCGGATTCAGGAAATGTGTGCCATTGAAACGACTTATAAGCGAAGGTTCCACGCTACCGCAAAAGTGATCCGTATAAGGAAAATACGAGTAGACCATTATTTCACCACGAGCATTTTGTGTCTGTACACTGCAGTTAATCATAGAGTTCGCCCAACAATATGCAAAGATCTGCTGCAGATGGGATTGCATCTCTGCATCGCGCACTTGCAGAAAGATGTAGTAATACTCGTTGTAGTTGTTGTGACGTGAGTCGGACGCAATGTCAATCTCACTGGAATCCATAAAGAAATTATTTTATGTGTAAGCTAAAATTCCATCGAGTTTTGACTCACCGAAATGCTTGAAATGAGTCCGTTAGTATGAGATTGAGACGCTTTGTGCCGTTTATGCGTTGCACAGAGTGCTTGTGTAACACCACAAAGCGCACCATAGATATACCCCACATGTGGAACAGCTTTTCCATGAGATTGTTGTAAAACGTGCATATATACCGATCACGACAGCACAGAATTAATGTAAAGAAGTTGCCCATCTGGAGCAGATAATTGTGTATGACTAGCATTGTCGCATTGGCGGCTACGAGATTCGCCTCGTCATGTTGTTCGCCCGATTTGCTGTGATAGCTCGAGTACAATTGCGTTACGTTCATTTTAAACAGAAATTAATCGGTTCCCAGCGACCTATACGGCTATATAGCTGAGGTGCTACTAAGACCGAAAACTTAAAGGATCCACTATTTAATAAGAGCACTTCAGCATATCTTGTACTTCTATATTGTTTAAGTGTGAATCCATTTGCTTACATATAAATTAATGTGGAATTAATTACAGCATAAAGTTGAATTTATTTAGCAGAAAGTTAAACAAAAGCCACTTAAATTTTATTTAAGAAAATATTTTCCACTAAAAATCAATTTTTTATTTTAGCTTGCGTAATCAATAGGTCAGAATTGCTTCGCTTCACATAAAGCAATTGGTATACTATACTTATACTGACGTAACATTTTCGAACAATCGAGTCTTGGTTTTTTTTTAAGTTATTCGATTCGACTGAACAGCTAGACGAAGATATTGGCTGCTTAATGATAATTAGGTAAACAGTCATCAAATTATGTAAGTTTTTAAAGTATTTGTTTTATCAACTTTTATACTTAATATCGACCCATAGAAAACAAGTAGCAATTAGGGTACAATAAATACTCGTCCTCTAAGAAATGAAACTAAAATAATCACACTATGAGCCATTACAGGTGTCTTGGTTACAAAAATTAATTATAATAAATAACAAAAGTCTCTATCTTTATGAACTCGCTAGTATTATATTAAAACGCGAATATTACGTCGGCCGGTTTAAGTCGTCTAAAGCGAGTGTTGATTCTCATAAAACCATTAACTACTATGAAGTTTAGGATGGGTTAATCTGGTAGGACAATAAGCCATGCATATGCAAGATTTGGTCCTTTGCGATACCAGATGAAGTTCAGTTGCTAAGTTCATGAGGAATAGTCATACCTTAGAGTGCCTGCACTTGACGCGAATTTCTGTGGAACACTCTGTGGTCTCACTATCGATACCCCTTCTAATGTTGTATACTGTGGGGACTCCAAATGATGCAATAGAGATGCTTTTCATTTCCTGAAGTCTTCTCGATCTGTCAGATCCAATAGAAGGAGACCCTAAAACTTTTCTATACCATGTTTGTAGTGCGATTTGTCCTTTGCTTCAGTTTAGGCTACAGTTTCGGCGATCACCACTTCAGTCTACAATTTCTTCTTAGCGAGCATTCTTTTGCGATCTGAGAATAAGAAATACTAGTTAGGGGAAAATTCTGGAGAATACGTTAAATGCGGAGGCAACTAAAAGCCCAATTCATGGATTTTTGTCATCGTTTTCACCAACTTGTGACACTGTGTATTGACTTGGTGAAACATCACTTTCTTTTCCTTCAAATGCGGCCATTTTTCGGCGATATCGTCCTTCAAATAATAATAACTTATAACGCTGGGTAATCGATGCTGCTTGCCCTTTCTTTTTCAAGGTAGTTAATAACAAATGTTCCATGCGGATCCCAAAATACAGGGTCATATTCTTGGAAGCCGACTGCTGCTTTTTCCCTTTGATGACTGTTGATTCGACTTTGGTGTGAAAAGATGAGGTCTTATCGACAAAAAAACTCGTGTTTATTACACTTTAACATCTTCAATCACTGCTTCGCATACTTAACTCGCCATTGTTCAATCCTTAATGGTTGATTTTCCTGGTGCAGTGTCCGTAAACCAGTCTTCAAACCAAGTTTTTGCTTCAACTGTATTTTTTCCCTTCAAAATCATTATTTAATCAACAAGCCAAATTCTCTTTCATCCAGTTTTTCCACAATATCGAAAGGTGATTCACTCCAAATGATATAGTATTAACCTTTCGTAGGTTAAAACTAACTAAAAATCATATGGCTTTATCTTTTATTAGCGCCTTAAAATATATGGAATATTTACAAAACATTTTCGCAGGCAAATTTCTTTTAAGTTTTCTTAAGCGGCAATCATATATAACTACATACATATATAAGTATATGTACATATATCAGTTGCAGGATCATTTTATTACAAAAATCATCAGAATTCATAACAGTCGTAATGCATTTCTAGGAAATCTTGAAAATTTCTATAACTCAAACAATTTCAATGAATTTGTGTGTTTGCTACTTTCTTATCAAGCTTTCATTGCTTCCAATTTTCTCGTGCAATTTCTTTGTAAAAAGCGAAACGGATGATTTGAATGAATGAATATATTGTGGAAGTGTGGAAATCTGCATTGCAAATTCAACAGTCACTTTGAATACAAAACTATCAGTATCGTTCGCAATACCACGGAAACGTCGTTGTGGATGAATAAGATGAATGGCTGTTTGTATGCATGTGTTATGAAGGCTGTTCTGAGGAATCTTTGAATTTCAATTTCTTGGCTGTATGACATGTGGTGTAGATAAGTGAGATAGACAGAAGTTGATAGAAATTTAAGTCATATTAAACAGAGTGGCATCTTTGGTTCTGGTTTGGCTTGAAACCAAATTTGGTCAGAAATATGTGGCGGTACCGTTTGTGCTCCGAGCATCGATAAATTGCTTATATTTTTTCACTTGATTTTTTTTTTTTTGTTTTTAGAGAGAATTTATGTGGGATTACAAACAGAAGATATACTAAAATTTTGTTTGCTAGAGTAAGTTTTCAAATGAGCAACAGTTGTGAGTATTCCCTCGAATTTAGAATGCAAGTGGGGAAAAAATAAAGAAATGTTTTAAGGTGCAGAAAATTTTGTCTTTAATGGAAAGTCAACGTAATCGACCCACTGAGCGTATGATACTATCACCCATCTTGAGACCCAATTCATTATTGGAAAATACTCGACAGAATAGATCACGTACAGAACGCAGTGAAGAAGAAAAGCAGCCGTAGATGAGAGTATACACGATTCGCAGCAACTGACGTATGGAATGACTTGCCGCATTTTACGTCGAAATCTTAAATTAAAAGAAACTGAGGCTACTCTTGAAAAGTTCTAAGAAGATCCGACGTTTACGAGCCAAATTTTGTTCAGCGATGAGGTCCATTTCTGGCTCAATGGGTATGTAAACAATCAAAATAGCCATATTTGGAACGAAGAGCAACCTGAAGAGGCACAAGAACTGCCATTTCATCCAGAAAAATCAACGGTTTGGTATGGTTTGTGGGTTGGTGGAATCGTCGATCCATATTTATTCAAAAATGATGCTGTCAATGGCGACCGTTATCGCGCCATGTTAACCGACTATTTGATGCCTGAAATTGAAGCTCATGATCTCGAAAACATTTGGTTTCAACAAGACGCCACCACTCCCAAACATATCGCATTAATCCGTGCATTTATTGAGAGAACACTTCGGTGGGCAGATAATTTCACGATTAAGGCCGGTCGATTGGCCACCAAGATTGTGTGATATCACACCGTTCGACTGTGTGGATAAAAGAAATATCTGCTCAAGCCATCGATAAGTCATTGTAACCTTCCATTCTCTGCCTACTTAAGATACAATAATAAGCTAACAAGCGCACAATAGATCACACACAAATAAAAGCGTCGACTCTCTGACACACTTTCCACAATTTAAATGAGGCAAAACTCAATTTATTCACAAAGTGCGAATGCTCTTTCATAAAATTTCATTGCAGAAATTTAGAACACTTGCACTGTCGCTTGAAGAAAAACAACAACAACAACAACAACAGTAGCAACTTCGCAATGAAATGAAACGAAAGTGTAGCAAATGAAATTGTTCAGTTGATGAGAGTGGCGAATCGCATTTGGCAAAGTAGCAGACGTGTGAAGGCGGACGGACGACAGACAGACACACAACTTATCTTGGCGCAAATTTGGTCATCCGAATGGCAATTGAAGCGATGATAGTGCTAGTGAAAATGTCATCAATGTTAATGAAAGTGTTACCAATGAGCCACACGTACACACATTCGCACGCGCACGCACGCTCACACACACACTTTCGCTTACAACGGCGCATTCAACTAATGACCGAAATTCGCAAAAGAATTTTCACTTATCGACGAATAAAAGCGAACGCCAGAGAGAAGATGAATATGACAATTGTAGCAATGAATTCGCGTAAAAAATAATGAAATTAAAAATAGCATTAAAATGAAAAATAAAAAAAAATAATAATAATAAAATGAAGATAAATAATAGAATAAAAAAATAATAATAATGAAATAAAAAATAAATAAATATTAATCTCTAATAAATACCTGGCTAAATAAATCTTTGAATATACAGTTATGAATCGACAAAACACGCTCAAATTGACATTGATTCGAGTTCTTTCTTCTTCGATAAAAGAAAATTTCATTGCTAAGTGTAAGCTAACTTAGGTTTGCTTGTGCTGTGCAATGTTTTCTTAGAAAGTAAAAGGAAAATGAGAATGAGTGCGCGTAATGAAACGTCGAAAGACTTAATTAAACTGCTTCATTTGTTGATGGAAGAATTAGACAAAGATAATTGACGCGTGTGACTAGGTACTTACATATGTGTGCCTATTATGGGTAGTAAAAAAATGTAAGTACTTGATATGAATCAGTTGGTTTGGTCAAGTAAGTAATGCGAATATTTAATGGAAATTACGAACTTTTTAAAGAAAAATATTTTTGAAATCAGAGCCGAAATTATAATACCCTTCACTGTTATAGCATAAAAGGGTATTCTGATTTTGATCGTTCAGTTTCAAGGGCTTGATTTTGATTCTTCGTTTGTAAGACAGCTAAATGCTTTAGTCGTTCGATCTAAACAATTTCCTCCTAAAATTGCAGGAATATCTTGAATAATAATATCTGCCGAACTTCACGACGATATCTTGACATATAAAAAAGTTCGCCATACAAGAACTTGATTTTGATAACTCAGTTTGTATGATAGCTATGTA